GCTCGGATGCTGAAGCTTCAGCGGTAGTTAAATCTAACTGCGAAAGTGTTACCACAGGTAAAAGAATCTTCCTTTATTAAAGATGGAAGGTTGAGGACAGGTTTAGAAAGAAGAGATGCACTTCGTGGTTCCGAATTCCTCCTAAGAGGGATACGGGTAGTATTTTACTCGAGACCGCAGGGAAATGACAGTCTTTGAAATGCCTGGTGGGGATTTAAACTGAAATCTGAGTATCCTTTGTATTTAAAACCCGGGTAATTTTCTTTCATGGTTGACATTTTTCATGGACCGCAAAAATCCAAGTTTCTTGCTCACTTAAACTGGCTACTGTAATAGCGGTGATTCACAAAGGACTTAGTTTGCTAACAATAGGGAAGGATAAGGTTTAGTTCCACACATCTGCCTTTTCACCCCTTCATTCATTGGCCAACTGGGTTATCATGGAGTCATTTTGGAAGTACTGTGCTAATATTTCCGGCATGAGGTTTTCTTTGTTTTGGTTTTTCGGTGTTTTTGTTTTTGGTTTTTTTTTCTGTTTTATTTTTAATAATGAGCTACCTAAAATATCAAATTTTAACTCCGTAGCAAAGGTATGCCTTCGGGAATAGTTTAAATGTGTACCCTAAATGTAAACTATAAATAAGTACTTTAAAATGTATAGAAATTTTATATCTTGCCCTATCGAAAACTGTACGACTAATTTTGTGTTGCTTTATAAGAACAAATATTTTTATGTCCCTTTTTAAGATTTTAACACCAGGGTACTATACCATACAAATGTATAACTATCTTTTTTAAAGTAAGACTTCGTAATATTCAAAATAGACAAGCTACTCCCACTCTCCCATCCCTGGTAATGAACTTTTGTTTAATTATTAGCCAGGAAAAATAGATTCATTCAGTATTTCTGATTGTTGAAATTTAAACATTTTGTATAAGACTGCATCAGACATTAGCTGTACTTTCCTAAGAATTGCAGACAGCTGTTCTCATTTTATATAAGCTACCGGCAAAGATAATTTAAAAAGAAATTAGTCTATACGTTTTCACCTGTTTTTTTTTTCCTTACTTCAACTCTTTTCATTGAGTTTTTGCTCTATCAACCTAAATTAGTGAGTTTCAACCTTCATTTGCTATGCATTACCTTGGAAGATTTGTTAAGGATTGATTCCTGCACTTTAAATCCAGAGTAGGTCTGGAGGATGGATTGAGGAATCTAAATTTAACTGGGAAGTTAGATTTGGCCAGTTTCAAAAACACCTACTTAATCTTTCCTAGGGAGGCTTTATAATACATAGGTTAAAGACATGGAACTGGAGCCAAACTGCCTGGATTTTGAATTTCACTTCTACCACTTGGTAGCTGTGTGACCTTAAGAAAGCCGTTTAATCTTTCCGTGCTTTAGTTCCCTCAGATGTATAATGGGGATAATAACAATAACTACCTTGTAGGATCTTTGTGAGAATCAAATGAGTCAATACATACAAAAATCTTAGAATAGTGTGTGGCACATACTAAATGATACATATATCTCCTGTTATATTGAATTACTAAGCATTGTACGAACCACATTACATATATTATTTCATTAATCTTCACAAACAACAAGCTAAGAGGGATTCAGTAATTTGTTCTCACACAACTAATAAAATATTTTAACTGGGGTCAGAAACTGGATTTAATTAGAAAGTTCATGCTTTATCTTTTTTTAGTGTTTCCTGCCTCTTTCTGCAGTCTCCTTCCAAATGTTGCTCCCTAAAAATCTCTGATTGCTTCCCATTGTCTACCATACGTAATTCAAATTTCTTAGTTTTTTTCCCAAAGCCTTCTCAATCAAATTTCAACCTGTTCTCAAGCATCATCATAATATTCCACCACCCTTTTCTATCCTATGATGTTTTATCCATACTATTGCAGTCCTTCAAATCTATTCTTTTATTATTTTTTTGCCTACTTAGCCATCAACCTTTTTTATTTCCCTTTAAAATTTTACAGTGGGTTTCAAGTACCTTCCTCGACTTCTCAGGCAGAGTGCTTCTTCCACAGCAGCAATTTAGTTGTAAACATTATAGCACTAGATTGAGAGCTCTTGTCTTTATCTTTATATCTGCAATTCTTGGTACAG